CAGGATGTGACGCTACACATCGCTCTGGCAACGGGGCTGTTTGGAGTCCCATTGCCAGAGTGACGCGTAGCGTCACATCCTGGCAACGGCGGTGCAGCGCGTGCGGATCCCCCGCCGCAGCTTGGCAGCCCTAGGGACTGGTGCTGTGAAACTGCAGATCACATCACCTGCTCTTCTGACATGACCAGAGACCAATGAAACCATCCTTTCCTTGATTGGCCTTCTTGTATCTGGAAGACATCGCTTGAACCCTGATTGGTGCCCAGGCCTAGCAACCACTTTGGGTTCAGACAATAAATAAGTTACCTTCATTCCTATTCAGGGGGCATGATGGTATTGCATGTGACTCTGTCCTGTTCACCTTTCAGCCATCTTGGAAGCTCTGACTGCTGAAGCCGACCAGCCTGGCTTTTGGGACTCTGGAGACGGAGTGCATTTGGACCCAGAGCTGAACCGGTGACATCTTGTCTTTGAGAACCAAGGTTCTATAAGTGTTTAGCTAGTTTGTTAATCTTTAGCTTTCTTGTGTCCCCCCCCCGAATACTATTTTAAGTAAGTCTGCACTCTTTTTAATAAATATACTCTGCACTTAAGTAAACATATATTTTATTTACCAACTTCTGGTTTCTGTCTCCACTGCTGCAATAAGTTATCTAGTGCCTAAAACGGTCAGTTACCACCTCTAGAACACCCTGTGGGTCTCCTGCTGTGAGCCAAACTCGCAGGGAGGATTCCCTAGTTGAGCCCGGCAAGGTTAGGAGTCTGTCCTTTGCCTCTTAACTGGACGGACATAAAAGGGCTGGTGGTAACACTACCTGGCTAGAGGTATACAGGTGCCTTTAACCCCCCTTTGTAATTGTAGCTAGCCAGCCTCTTGGCGAAGAGAACCCCCAGCCCGGGTTGGGCAGGAGGGGGACTCTCTTTGACAACTGGGCAATATGTTCCCCAGAGAGTACTGTGATCAGGATCTCAAAATCTCCTTGTTCTCCCCAGCCTCAAAGATGTCAGGCTGGCCACAACCAGGGCTAGAAACTTCTCGGAGGTGGCACCGCTTTGGTTGAATGAACTCCCAGAGGACATCGGAGCCCTCGGGATTTATCACAATTCTGCCGGGCCTGCAAGATGGAGCTCTTCCGCCAAGCGTTTGAGTGAAACGCCACACTAAACTGTTCAACATCAACCGGGTAGGCTATGCCCTATAATCCACTTGGGCTGCCTGTTTAAATGTCTGTGCCCATATTGAGAAACAATGTGTCTAGGAGCCAGACACCAGCTGTACAACTATTGCTGATCCCATTGTGGCCGATTAGGACAGTCTTTGTCTTCGTAGATATATAGCACCTTTGGAATTTGTTTTTATGATATTAACTGATTCTGTTGTTGTAATGTTTCTATTAAAACAATAAAAACAGCCTTGTAAGCCACCCCTGAGCCTGGTTTGGCAGGAAGGGCAGGGTATAAATCAAATCAATCAATAAATC